GGCGTCGCCGGCGCAACCATGGCCGGACGTCTTCAACGCGAGCTGAAACGCGCGCTCTGGAAGCTCTCGAAGCGGCTACACGGAGTTGGCGTGTCGAGCCTGTCGGCACCGGTGGGGTAGCTCTCCATGCCACCTTGCGGCCGCAGTGATGATCGTGGAAGCCGTTGAACCAGGTGAGAGTCTGACAACCGACGTTCTCCATGAGTACCCGTTAATGTACAAGGCAGGAGAGTTCGCCACAAGCAGCTATATTGACAGAGTAGCGAGCTCGCGCTCTCGTCTGCGCTAGTTGCATTCTTCTCGCGCTTCGGTCGGACAACGTGCCATTGAATGGCGGCGACAAACATCAGGAGAGCAGTGCGAGCTTGAGGAGAGGTCGCCGGCGCGAACACGGCCGGGGGTCTCCAACGCGAGCTGAAACGCGCCCTCTGGTGGCTCTCAAAGCGGCCATACAAAGTTGGCGAGTCGAGCCTCTCGGCGCCGAATCCGGTGGCGCGGAGCGCCACCCGCTTCGCGTGGTGGTCGTGGAAGCCGTTGAACCAGGTGAGAGTCTGACAATCGACGCTCTCCGCGAGTACTCGCTAATGTATGAGTCAGGAGAGTTCGCCAGTAGCACCTCCGGTATCAGAGGACCGAGCATGCCCTCTCGCCCTTCGATCGCTCAGCATGCCATTTAATGGTCGCGACAAACATCCGGAGAGCAGTGCGAGCTTGAGGGGACGTCGACGGCGCGAACACGGCCAAGCGTCCTCATCGCGAGCTGAAACGCGCCCTCTGGAAGCTCTCAAAGCGGATACACGGAGTTGACGTGTCGTGCCTGTCGGCACCGGGTGCGGTAGCACTACACGCCACCTTGCGGCCGTGCTGATGATCGTGGAAGCCGTTGAACCAGGTGAGAGTCTGACAATCGACGCTCTCCGCGAGTACTCGCTAATGTATGAGTCAGGAGAGTTCGCCAGTAGCACCTCCGGTATCAGAGGACCGAGCATGCCCTCTCGCCCTTCGATCGCTCAGCATGCCATTGAATGGCGGCGACACATGGCAGGAGAGGAGTGCGAGCTGGAGAAGGCATCGCCGGCACGAACATGGCCGGACATCTTCATCGCGAGTTGAAGCGTGCACTCTCGAAGCTCTGAAAGCGGTCATACGAAGCTGGCGAGTTGCGCCTGTCGGCACCGAATCCCGCAGCGCTCTACGTCGCCTGTCGGGTGTGTTGATGGTTGTGCAAGCTGTTAAATCAGGCGAGACTCTAACGCTCAACGTTCTTCACGAATACGGCCTCATGTGTGATGCAGGAAGGTTCGCCACAACCAGCTACGGTACCAAACGAGCGAGCTTGCGCTCACGTATGCCCCAGACGCGTCCATCTCGTGGTCCTGAGAGATCGCCGATCTCGTTTGGCTTCACTCGTCGGCGGCTATGCGGGATCATGAGAGTATAGCGGACTCCGTCCGGCGTCTACGCCTCGATTCAATTACTAGAGTGCGATTTCCGCGGCGTCGACGACGATCCCCCGTATCCTTCCTCCCTCGACCTCTCCCTCTGATTTCCTCGTTCAACATATACATGCCCGCGTTACGCCTCGCTCATCCTATTCGTGCAAGGGGGGGGAGATGGCCGACGTCGCTCGTTTGGCGCGCCTGGGAACGAGGAAGGGAAAGAAGGTATGTCCTTGTCGGGCGTCTGTTTGCGCAAGCCCCTGACGACGCATCTATCCAGATCGTGTATTCGCTTAACGCAGCGCCCGTCAACCGTCAAACCAAGGACAACGAAGATTGGCGAGTTCAACATCACAACATTTCCAATTGCCGCTCGCCAGCCTGTCGTTCGCCTCGTCCTTTCGTGCCGTCTATTGACACATATTATGTGGTGGTCTTCCGAGACTGTGCGGGTCCGTTGCAAGCCCGAGAAGTCCTCGGGCGTAGGCTCATCGTGATGGCCTAGTTCCCCGTCATGATGAGTGGCACACGCCGAGCTGAGAGGTACGTGGACAGGGTTTTCTATATATGTAGTGCACTTTGCTGACCATGCATCGCAGATCTCTTCGGTCGTCGGGAGAGACGACATTCGGTCAAACCCTTGCTCGTCGCGCCCGGTACTGCGTCTACCCTAGAGTCTTCTGCACTCCCTATCCGATCGAACATGTCCCCTGCGCGCACTGCACCGCCGAATACGCTTTCGTTTGACTCGTCTCTCGAGTCGGCCACCGGCGAGGCACCCTCGCACCCCATTCAACCCATACCCACATTGTTAGGTACGTCCGTTTTACCATCTTTCCCTGCCTCTTCACTTACTTGCGCAATAGATGGGTACGACGACTTCGGCGAGATCGCCGTCCAGCTTGGCCCATCGCTCCTGGGTCGCGAGCACGGACACGTCAATACCGACGTCCTCACTGTGGGCCCCAACCAGGCATCGGGCAGCGACACCGCCGGGCCTGCAACTCCCGATCCTGCTCACGCTGCCACCCCCATTCCCGTCACGCAAGTACGGCGTCCATTCCCTGCACGGCTTGTCGACCGTATACGGCGACTTCTGCGCATGCGACGCCGGTAGACTGGCTGGAGGAACTACTTGTCGTGGCTTGCGCTATACTGTCTACGTTACCGCGATACCTGTGTTCATCACACAATACGAACCTCACGCTCCTTTGATTGCGTAGATGTGTGCTTGTAATGGTCTCCGTTATTCTCATACAACTCAATCGTTCTCCTACTATTTCGTAGTTTTGGACTTGGAAGTAGTTCTGCATCGGCCAACTATACCTCCTCGTCCACTTTACACAAGCATCGTAGCGCTCTGAAAACTTTACACAGTACTCTATCGTATGTAGCCTACGCCCTCCATTAAGTTAGACGACTGCGGTAGAGCGGTACTGGCTATCGAAATCGCAGAAGTGCGGATCGGGGTGTAAGCTCAGCCCATCTTGGGTCCATCTGCTCCGGCCTGACTATCTAGTCGTTCCCTGCGATCCAAAAAAATCGAGTGTACTTGCAATAACTCAAAGAACGCCGAACTTGACTTTGAGAGCATATACTTGAGTGGTACTTGTACGACGGAGGGTTCACTGCTGACGCCATCAGTCGGTCCAATCTTGGCGAACGAAATGCCACAGAACCCACTACGCCTCTAGCAGTACCAGTTTGCACCAGAAATGTTTGTCATGCTCAAAGCATAGTCTCCATGCCCATTCAACGGTATGACATTAATCACAGATTTTACCGTCAGCTTTAACTTTCAGGAAACCGCACAATCCATAACTACTTCCAGCCGGTGCAGAACTACCTCCGAAGTAGTAGTCAGTTGGCGTTCATCGCCGAAGGTCTGCATCGCCGTATGCAGTTGACCTGAGAACTGTTACGCAGGTATGCATGATGGGAAGGAGCGTACATCCGCCCACTCTCTGGCGGCTCTCATAGATGTCACTCTTGAGAGTGCTGCACATCGGCTGCCCACAGGTCGAAGAAATAGTCGCCCAGGCTTATGGTTTGGATGCGCTGAGAACCCTTCCCACTTTTTTGGCATGAACAGCATGAATATAAAGTCATACTTGTGTGAGGCCGAAAGACAGAATAATGAAGATCGATGGTGCGTGACAAGCGATAGGACGGGGTGGGGCAGAGCAGAGATACAAAAGAGCGTCAGGATCAACATGGAAGGGGTGGATGTGCGAAAGAGATATAAGCCGATGATGCCACACGTAAGTGCGCGGATTGCCATATAGCAGCGATAAACGACAAGAACAGGTTGAATATATGTGAGCGAACAAGAATAGAGCGGGGAACCATTCAGGGCGTGGGTTTCGACGATGCGACAGTCATTATACTGCGCGACCGTTTGTCTGGCCTTGCTTCTGATCCCCCCGAAACTGCCCGTGAGACCCGTCGGCGACGACGAGCGAGTCAGGTTCATCCTCGATGACGTCCGTGCCGCTCGAGCCGATGCGTCGAAAGGCAGTGTTGGGCAGATCCTGAGCAGAGGCGTCGACCGGCACCGCGGTCGAAGGGGAATACCCTGTGCTGGCACCGCCTGACACAGGCGTTACTGGAAGATCGACGATGCTTGCAGACTCGCTGGCGACGAGCGGGCCCGGTTCGTCCTCGATAGCATCCGTGCCGCTCGAGCCGATGCGACGAAAGGCAGTGTTGGGCAGATCCTGAGCAGAGGCGTCGACCGACACTACACTGTCATTCTCTGACGTGCAGTTTGCCTGAAGGTCGACGATGCTCGCGAGGTCAAGCAATGCGCCGAGCGCCTGTGCATCGAGTCGTGCACCATGCAGAACCGCCAGGCCCGGACCTCTAGAAACCGATAGATTGACGAGCTCTTGATTGAATATGGCGCGCAGACACCGGGAGGCAGCGGGTTTGGGACCTGGATTGCTCTTCCAGAACAATCGACGCCACTCCCACATGCATGGGGTATCTTTCGGAAGATACCTCTTATCAGGCTGCGCCCATCCCTCCGGCCACCCACAGCGGCGCGCCCCGTCCAACAGGGTCAACGCGTTGCGAGACGCGAGTTCGCACCGCGGGTCACTAGGCTCAGCGAAGAGCTCATCCAGGTCATCGTAGTTCCTCGCGGCCACTTTGAGGAGATGCAAGCCCTTGACTCTCTGGAGCATCTTCAGGAGCAGCTGCAGCCTGCGTCTAGCCAGGGCACCAGATCCTCTGGGGGTGTGGGGGTATCCTTCAATCTTGCCCATGGACACGATAGCCGCCCACCGTAGGCTCGAGCACGCTGCAAGCACACTGATGTCGCGCCGACTCATCGCGTCGTCATTCAGTTTGCCGACTTCCTCGAAGAAAGCTGGCAGTAAGCGGACGACGACCCGCAGCTGTGACCACCGTGCATCTTCTCTCTTTGCAACGTCATCGTTCCCTTTAACGGGGCGGTTGGCGTTATCCGCCAGTAATAGCATTTGCAAAAAGCAAATAGAGCCGACAGCGTCAGAGCAAGACTCGAGGGGGGACTGGATGTGATTGAATACTGCCGCAAGCCGGGACATCATGGCACGGTGTTCGCGAAGAGCTGACATGACGCATCTGGATTACAGTGGCAGATAGTTGAGTCCTGGTGACGCGGAAAAGTGTCTGCAGTAGGCGACATAACCCGGGAGGAACCGAACCGGGCACCTCCGGAGAGACGTCTACGAATGCGGTGTTTCACTACTGGTGAGTATAAGTAGCGAGAATATCATGGGACGGTAGAATATCGTAAGCTGCAACAGAAATAACGTAACTGCGAAGGGGGTAACGCATGAACCAACTGGGACGGGTCTTGATTCGTAACCCTGCAGGCGGTGGGCCAGTGGGATGAGGACAGCGAGAGCATCCTGAGCGTGGGGCGTATGCCGTGTCGCGAAACCGCAAGTAACCCACCGCGAGCCTCGGCAGTCCATTCATAGCGTGTCTTACGACCTGAGCGAGAGTGACAGTGGGAGGGCGTGAGTGCGCCGTAGCAACGACAGGGCAGGCGGCGGGTCGGAAGCCTGGCCACAGGGACATCTCCGGGGTCGTGTGAGGTTGGAAGTAGCACCGGGTGCTCGAAGGTATAGGGAGGGGGGGATTGAGAGGGTATTGTGCGGTCGCGCCGTCCGCTGATGCGCCCCTGGTCGATTGTGGCTGCCTGCCTCACATCCGGCCTCTCTGAGCGTGTCACCCTGCCAAGTATCCCTCCAACTCGCCCGAGCCTCTTCGCGAGTCAGGCCGGGAAGAACGCGCAAGAGCTTCCCGTGCCTCTCCGGATGATCGCAGTGAAAGATGCGGGCTCAAGCGTCGAGCGCGACTGTGAGGCCTCGACGACCGCCGCTGACCGCTGTCACGTAGTAGGCGATTGATGACTGCAAGAATCAGGACACGCCGGAAGGGAGTAATGTCGAGTTTACTCACTGCAGTCGCACAGTGGGAGCTTGAAAGCGATGTTTCGAACACCTCCCCTTCAGTATGGGTGTGGGGTGCCTTGCAGGATCGCGCGCGCTGCGGGCTTTGGCGCATCGAGCATGTCCATCTGACATACGACGTCATACGGCTCCCGTCGCCTGAAGTGTGCCGGGCCGGTGTTGCTGGCAGTGTATCTCGTATTCATAAGCATCGCCGTCGAGGGGTGACTGAGCCTCTCGCGGACGCGGAGCCCTGCTTGTGCGCATGCTCGAGCTCGACGGCTTGCGGTAGACAAAGGGAGACGCCGGGTAGGTGCGCAGATAGGACGAGCATAGGAAATAAGGTGAAGGCCATGGAAGTGAGCAAGGCCGTTCGTTCGCGAGCGCCTCGAGCAGAGCCGTCGCGTCAGCATGATCACTCGCTGCAGTGTGACAGCAGAAAGACCGCAACTAAGACAAAGAGCACTCCTGAGCGCTGGTCAAGCAGACATGAGCTTATTACATCGGCGCAAGGGACGTAGTCATCGAGCATGGTCATGGTAGGGAGCCAGAAGTGAGAGGCTCCACTAACAAGCCGATCGGTGTGGGAAGAGACCATCCTCACCTAAGGTTAGGGTTCATAGGTTATGTACATGACTAGCGCGAAACCGTGCTTCGCAGTTCGCACGCACTCACTATTTGCGGCCTCCCAGAGAAGCCCAAAGCCGTACTTTGCACCCAGTAGCATGTCGACGTCGCGCCGCGTAATGCCTCGTCAGCGGGCCGCCGATTCTCTGCTCGAAGAGCGGATTCGCGTCTCGACGCGACCAGCTTGACGGGATCGACGCACTCAAGGCGTCGCTGCCACTCAGGGTACCCAAAGTTACTTGCACCTACTGTATGCACCCAGTGATCTATACCTAGTAGCACGGTTCACGCCCGACGCCGAACGTCTGATGCATTATCAGGGCTTCAGCTCCGTCCAAAATCCGGGTTCATACAGAACGGATCGCGGCTAGTATTGGAGAGCTCGCAGTTCGTGCGCCCTTCATAATCGTGGTCAGTAGCGACATGCGATTCGGGAAAGTTCGCGACGCGATTAGCTCAACGTCGACGCGTCCGCCGCGACGCGTCGCACCGCGTTGATGCCCCCCGCCACCGCACCGCCGGCCAAGCTAGTTGCTTTGCACGGACTGGCTTGCTTTCCTGCGTCCAACTTCTTTACCCATCCCTGCTCCCTGTACCAGGGATCTGCTCTGCGCTGCGCCCTGCGTGGTTTGCGCTGCACGATCAGCTCGCCGTCAACGACTTTGGCGCACCGTGACGCGTTTCGCGAAGATCTGTGCCACGTCCTCATGAGCGTATGATCCCCACTGACCCCGCAGCACCCTGCCTTTCACCTAGTACAATGCTTTGCGCCTAGCACCACACAATCGTTTTACTCGCCGTCGTCTTTATTCCCACGCGCTGCAGCAAACCATACTCTGCAGACTTGCAGCAGCACTCGGAGTCACCTGATGGAGCGTCCGCGCGTCGCGACTCGCGTCGCCAGCCGACCAGGTTGCCGGAATGACTCTGGCATTTGTTGTACGAAAGCGTACGCGAGGAACGAGTATAAGCTTTCGGGAGGCCAAGGGAGAGCGAAAGAGGCTCGGGAGTCGCCGAGAGAGAAGCCGCGTGAGAGCGAAGCTGTCCAAATCGAGGTAAGATTAGGATTGCTAGCACGAGGCTAGCAAACGCGGAAGGCAAAGATCGACGCGGCTTTGGGGAAAGCAGAGCCCCTTTCTGTCCTCCCGCCGACGAGCCAGCAGGCGTCGTCGCGCTAGTTTTTCGACCCACCACCTCCCTTTTCTATTTGAAAAAATTTAACTAGACGCTACGCGGGGTTACTCGGGTGGCCAGTCAGAAAAGGGCTCGGTTACTCGGCTTCGCCTGGAGATAGCTGTCCGAGTCCGCGGGGCAAACGCGCGCACGCAGCGTCCCGGAAATGGGAACGCGTGTCGTGCAGCGCGTGAAGGGGGCCAGGTCAGCTGACCGCGTTTCGGCCCCGAAGTTCAGCCCTGCGGGGTCCAACCAACCTCATCACGAACTAACAGTGAGCATTGCTCTACGGATGTCGTAGAGCTGCTTTCTCACAGTTCGCGTGTACGCAAAACAAAAGTGTATTTATTGAGCCACTCCAAGAGTAGTTATAGCGCGCCGGAGGCGCGCGACGCGCCTTCGGCGCGGATCAGAAGTGATGCAGACGAGCGAACAGACATGGGCTATCCTCGAGCACGAATCGTTACAGGTTGAGCATGCATAGCGCCCATTCTCGCACACGAACGACTTCGTAAACCATCGCGTGCGAAAGCATTTCCGCCAGTGCGACCGGAACCTGTGGGAGCGTCTCCGCGGGAGCACCCGAGGCTTTTCAGGCGATTATCTGGTCCCCAGCAGGGAGCACGGTTGAGAGTCCTCGATAATCGCTTTGCGACCCTAGGCGGTCTATAGCTGTCACAAGGCGGATGTTAACGTTTACAGTCATGCTGCCCGGTTGTATGCTTACTGCAATCGCCTTATTAGGTCGCGCAGGAGAGCGCGAGCGGCTTGAAGAAGCCGCGGGTCAATTACAGGTCTCGGACGGTCCGGCGCAGGTGGCGGCGGTGGCGAGGCTTCTTCAGGTCGCTCGTGTCGTGGGGCCATACCAGTGGCAGGGGCAGCGGCGGCAGCAGCAGCTTACGATTGTTGATGTTCCAGATCGAGGTCGGCCGTATTGGGCGCGTCGTTCAGCCGCCTCGAGACTGACATCAACCATGAAAACGAGCAAACTACGCTCGAGGCGCTTACGCGGAATGATCTGCATCTCAGAGTCGGTTATATTGGCGGCGTACCCAAAGCCGACACCGCGTTATATACGCGCGCACGTACCGCTTTGAAGCAGTGCTTGAGCGCGTTGGTGCGGCCTTCAAGGTTGGCTGGCGATTCGGCCTCGGGTGCGGTCGCGAGCTGGGTGAGTGTGGCACTTAGGTGCATATGCGGGGATAAACCGTGGGATACGCTATGATGGATGAGGTCCCTCTGCTCGTCGTCGTCGAAAGCGTGGCTGTTTGTGAGAACGATATTTATCATACAAGTTTGAAGTGATGACATACTTCGCGAGTCCCTCCTGCGAGCCTAGGTAGTGCTCATACGACAGGCCTATCAGCATGGTGCGCTGGAAAAAGGCGAATGGCGAGATGCGGACGGAGAACCATCGTATCATCTCGAAGAACTAGTAAACATATTCGCCCGGAAAGCTAAATGGTGGCGAGTAACATTTTTGGTGCATATGGGCGACTCACGGTTGATAAACCTTGTCATTCGTCGCGGGACAGTGGTAGTGCGCAATGATCGTCGCCACGAACCCACTGGCGAAAGCCTCGATGGCGATGCCGGAGCGCTCTATTTGGGAGTGAAGTGAGAAAAACCCATACATGACAAGCCAGGCGTGGGTTGGGGTATGTGCTTGGTGGGAATGGAAGAGTGGTTGGGAGACGGGAGAAGTGAAGAGCGGCGAGATGTCTAGAAGAGGTGGGAGCGCGCCCTTTGCGCCACTGCGAGAGGGTGGTGGTATGAGGCAACTAAGAACGCGCGACGCGTCCGCGCGTCAGGCGCATCGCCAAAATGCCCGACGACTCTATCTGCTGAATCACGTCCGATCAATCGAAGAACGCTGGTAATCAGTCGTCGTCGAATCGCGCGTTTACTCACTTTGGATCGCGTTCCTGTTGAATCGATCATCTCATGTTTCATCGCGTTCGCGTTCAATCACTCGCCCGCTGAATCGCTCACACGCTGAATCGCTCGAATTAGCGCTCAAATCGGGCTTTGGGTCTCGTGTGTGATCGGGACTGTCGCTTGCTTAATCAGGATATTCGCTCAATCGCCATCACGGGTTCATCTGCGTTTGCTGGATCATTAACACACGTGCGCTTCGGATCTGTTAGCAGCAGCAGCTTGTCCTCCTTCTCTCGCCTCTTTCCCTTACACACTTTGGTTTCCTGTAGTCATGAGTATGTTATACAGCATGTAGTGCTAGATGAGGCGAGGCACAAAGTGCTTGTAGGCCACGAAACTTGACAAAAGCACCCAGATGACCATGGTTGGGCCGGCCATCGCTGACCGGTCATCGCGACCCGGTTTGATAATCGGCCCTATCAATTGTTAGCGCCTTTGATAACCCCGGCCTTCCACTGGTGAACGGTCCTCGGCGCATTCGGGCTGGCCTACCTCGCAGTCAGCGTCATGCCCATATTTGATCGCAGTTGCCCTCTCAGAACGCCCCTTACATTCGCCTTCGCCTTCGCATACTGGCTTTTCCTTCGCGCTAGCCGTCTTCCGTCCATCTCATTCCTCGGACACTTCATCAAATCTTCATGGCCATATCGGATTTCTCTACAGGATGTCCTCGCCAGACAGTGGAATATGCCAAACCACACCTCTGACGACATCGATTTCCTCCTCGGCCCTAAGCGCTTCAGATACGCATGGGAATGCACCAGTCGACATATGTTCAATGCGGCTCAAATCACGCCGTTGATGCTGTCCGCGATGACGTTACTCGAGCATAGTCCCAATATCGAGGACGTCCAAGACTACCTTCATTACCTGGCTGAAGACGCAGGGCTCGCCAACCAGCTATCGGTGTGTCTCGCTGAAGTCGGGCCAGCCAGCACATCAGATGCGAGCATCTCTGCGGTGCAAATGGCCACTTTCATTTTACAGGAAATCTTGGCCCAAGAGATAGAAGACCCAGTCTATCACGCCTACCGTGGTGTTTACATAGACCTGATCCTCGTGATCGCCAGATCAGACTCGCGTATAATCGCAGAAGATACGCGATATGACCTCATCGCGCGTCTCTGCCTCTGTCATCTACGTTACTCTCTCCTTTACCTCGGTCAGCGTGCATCCGATCTAGAGCTCTTTTCACTCCCCGAAACCGATGTATCGCGCCACTTCTCTCAACAGGGCCAATACCCGATCAACTTCACGGATCTGCATCGCAGCACGCTACTCTTGATGCTGAACTCGTGGCAGTACAATAGGGTCGACGCGAGCTGGCGCAATCCGACCAGTGCAGACTGGCAACATGATGCAAGCTCATGCCTAGTTCCTCTGCACGATAGTCAATGCTGCAGAATGCGTTATGGGCCGCGATCCCACGTTGCGGCGTGCAATGCATTGACGATGATATCGCATATCCTAGATGCGTCTGACGCGGATAGAACTTACGTTCTCAACGGAGATCTTCTCGAGCGCTTCTTCCGCTTACAGCGAGGATTTCCGCTGGTAGACTGGCAGTTCTACCTCCCGATGAGACGAAAGGCAGACCGCAATCTTCCAGCCTCAGAGGAGTTCATCTCTGTCATACGCAAGGCGGGTTTGCAAGCATGGTTGAATCCAGGAAGCGATCTCAGTACAGGCCCACCGGACGACCCTCATCTTCGATTCCTCACACGGACTTTCGAGGTGGGAAACGGATTCACCGCCCGTTCATTCACTCTTCTGGATGTTATACGAAGTTTGGCACATCATGTCGATCTCACGAAGTCGGCCGGCGCGGTATACACAATGTCAACCGATGTATCAGCTCCTTGCGCCCATGCTCACGGTGCTGATCATCGCGCGGGTGGCGCACAGACCATACCTCACAGCTACGCGGGCATGGACGCACCTGCACTCAAGGATACGCGACCCGAACACGCGCTTAACGACGAGAAGGAGGTGCCTCCAGAGTAGGGAACAGGGTTGTGGGGCCAGTTTCATGAGTTAGGCATACGAGATGTACACCATGCTTATCTAGTGCAGTGTCGAAGACCTTTGGCCTTCGGAGGGTGGT